GAGCCATTTGAAAACTGTTTCAATTCCAAATCCTCTCTCTTATAATATAGTGGAATCTCCATAATTACTGCAAATTTGGTTGGTGTCTGTAATGCAGCGAATTTGGTTTTAAGAGTGGTTGTCAGAGAAAACCGGGCAAAATGTTAAAAATGTCAACGGAAGGGGGTCGACAGAATAAGTTCATACTAACATCATAGATAGGTCTGGTGGAGTAATGGACAAATATACCAAACATAGGTTCTTCACTGCTCTTGTATTACAGATACGAGCATCACTTTTTTCGACCCCCTCGGACGCCATTTTTATAAGCAAATTTTCACCATTTTCTGAAACTCACAGAACCCTCCAAATTTAACGAGCGAAGTTTATTTTTTGTATGCGATACAAGACATCACAGAACTACTTTCTGAAACCATAAGATTTGTTAAGTATCCACGGACAAGACTAAAATTTTCTTATTTTATCTGACCTAAGCTCAGTGTCTGCAAACGAGCAAAAAATCGGGCATTTTTGAATTGATCTACAGCACACAACTAAAACGACAGAACAACTCTGACAGCCAAATTGCCGTCTACTATCATCCATGTAACCAAAACACTAATAATCATTTTGGGCCATTGAAACAGGAAGAAATTAGAAAACTCACATTTGTTATAGTTTCCAAGCTTTTTCTTGCAAACAGGCCGATCCCTTCGTGTTTGTTTTAAGTCCTCTTCGTGAATTTTCCATCATATTTCGCTGTAAAGTATGTTCAGCAGCTGGAGAACATATCAAAAAGCTCGAAATACTGCCTAGGTTACATTTTCAAAGGGCAAAAAGTGCTGAACGATAGGATGAAACTAGAAAATAACAAAGCGACGCCATCTTGAAAATTCAGCACTCAGGAGGGACTGGCACTAGTAGCTGCGTTCGATATCTAACATAAGGACAAAAATTGCAAATTTTTCACGACTCAATTGTCTCGTAATTCCCAAAAGAGACTTGAGCACATAGAAAACCAAACCTAATACAGAAATGTAACCAGAAAGCCTCGGAGTCATGTAAGAAGTTCCTTTATCGAACGTTGGCTATTACGAACTATTACCAGGAGCCTATGGGCTCCTGTAATTACCAGTAAGATAAAAAAAGAAAAAAACAAACAAACAAACCAGCTTATCAGCGGCCTACTCCAGTCTTATTTCTTCTTCAGTTTCTTCTTTTAGTTGAATTTAGCTTGTTTTTCTTGCAAAGGAAAAAACAAGAAGAACGCTTGATCGCAGCTGGTTAATTGCTTCATTCCCTCCTCATTTCGAGGTGTCCCGTGAATGTAGATAATATTAAAGATCTATTTTGTCTCTTTATAAATCACTTAACTTCGCTCTCATGGGAGCTAGCTAGACTTGCTATATATCAACCTCGCGAGTTTCTAAGCGTGCGGGCTAACTACGGGCAGTAGATATTGCTTGCTGTAAAATTTGCAATAATTTTTATCACCTAAAATAAACAGTTGAATCAGAGTGCGGAGCGGGCATTTTAGGCCGCAAAGCGGCCAAGAGAGCGGACGAAGTAATTTTTGAAAGCCCGGGGGAGGGGGGTGGGGGGGGTTCCGCACATGAAAGTGGTGGGGATGCTCGTCGTCTCGCTTAGGGGTGAAAATTTCGGATTTTGGTCTCTTTTAGGGTGTTCTGGGCAAAACACCATCATATTTAGCCGTGAAGGTCTCGTTTAGGGTAGCACGCGAAAAAAGATAAAAATATATATTTGATATGTATATCTTTAATTCTTTTTATTTACTCCATTCATATCATCCAAGTTTTCTCATTTGTCTGTGTTTCAACATGGTCTCTTTTAGGGATCAAAAAAAGCTTGGGCCACGCCCAGATCGGTCTCCTTTAGGGGTTTAATTCAAAATTTTCCGGCGAGCATCCCACCCCTTTCATATGCGGAGTTTCCCCCCTCCGGGTTCGAAAGTAAGCCTTTTACTTGATGATCTCATCCCTATCACTTCGCATTTCCATAAGGTAATAGACTGTTGACAAGAGCTGTTAAAATAAACCATTCCAGATCTGGTTTACCGGAAGGATTCGGAAGGGGCTTTTGTTAAAAAGTACCATTACAGGGGTTCCTACGGTTCTCACTCCGTACCCCTTCCCCTCATTGTTTTTCCTGCTCACTTCTTTTTCAGTATGCTCTTTGCACGGTTCACACAAGCTAAACGCCACGGGTCCGGGCGAATTTTTTACCTGTGCAACCCGTTTAGAGGGAACGTGCAAATTCTCCATAGATTGCAATACTGTTTGCAGCTCAAAACCTTTACGGTTCTGCGGGTGGCATGTAAAGAAAAGGCGGATCCATACAAGTTTTTGGCAGTTCAAAAATTTTTAAAAGGGGTCTGAGTGTTAACTCGAGTTTTGACATCTTCTACACCTCTTCGTCACTGGATTTGTCAAAAACACTCTCTCTACGGCGTTTAACACAAGCAGAATCCATGTTCACAGTCCTCACATTTAGAGTAATTGTTAAGGTCTTGCCTTAACTTCAGAGGAGGCACTGATGACAGAAACGGAATTTATTCATCTGCTACGGAGGTAATTTCCAACGCCATTTCGTTTGTTAATCCTTTCCACGGCGCTGTTGCAAAAAATGCGCGCGCGAGTCACACAAGATGGCACAAAATGTGCTAAAAATTGTACATTTAATGGCTATGATATATATTTCGATGATGTCAGCCCCATCCCTGGAAGAAGTATCCAGTTACGGTCTACTACCCCGACTTATATATATATGGCTCCTGGTAGAGTATAAAAAAGTAATTTTGTGCAATTTTGCAGCGTAAAACCTCTGACCTAGCAGCCCGGCTGCATCTTGCGCCCATCATTTGCCCCCAAGGGGTGAGGATCTGGCTCCTTTTTCATAGGAAATTCATAAATTGGCTACTAAAACACTGCAATTTGGAAGCAAAGCCAATTTAAGAACTTAAAACTGCTCAGATATCTCAGAATTGGAAGAAAACTAGTAAGAAAAATTGCTCAGAAATTACGCAAAAAGTTGCTTGAAACGAAAAAAATTGCTCGAAATACTACAAGTTGCGAAAAAGTTGGCGAGCAACTTCAGGGAAGCTCTAGGGAGAAGGGGGAGGGGGGAGGGAGGGGTGGGAGGCTACTCAATAAAGCTTTTTTCGGAAAGGGTTCGCCCCGAGGTCCAGTCCCTTACCCTTAAATATACTATTTTTGACAAAAGGTACCCCTTTCGTGTATCTTCCATTGTACCCTTTATATCTGCTTCGTGAGAATAAATCGGTAAGAAAGGAGGTCTTCCGGTCATTTTCGAGTAACCTTAACATGTAAATGATATTGCCATAAGGCATGTTTCTTCGAAGCATTTTAATAATAGGCTCTTTAAAATACTTAATGAAAGATTTTCCTCTCCTTTCACATACTTCAACTAGTGATTTCCTAGCTACCCTTTGATACACCAGATGCTTGAAAGAGGTACCCTTCGGGCGAAGCCTTCGGGACTATGAAACTGTGCATCATGAAATCATGAACAGGAGATGAGTGGACCCTCGGACATGGACGGTGATTGAAGGCTGACGCAAAAATAAATGATACAAAAAAGAGTCCAAAGAAACGCTGAGACTTATATGGGATAACTCAAAATGAAGTGAATGAAGAGCAAATGAAGACTGAATAAAGTAATGCCAATTGGTCACCTGTTCACCACACCCCATCACTCCGCCGAAAAAAAAAAAAAACGACAACAATTTAACTAAAAGTAGTAATTGAGGAAGACATAGGACTGTAATAGGTCGCTTATAAGCCGGTTTGTTTGTTTTTGCTTTTTATCTGTTTGGTAATTCATCACTTGTGGACAAGGCAGCTACTAGTGCCAGTCCCTCCTGAGTGCTGAATTTTCAAGATGGCGTCGCTTTGTTATTTTCTAGTTTCATCCTATCGTTCAGCACTTTTTGCCCTTTGAAAATGTAACGTAGGCAGTATTTCGAGCTTTTTGATATGTTCTCCAGCTGCTAAACATACTTTACAGCGAAATATGATGGAAAATTCACGAAGAGGACTTAAAACAAACACGAAGGGATCGGCCTGTTTGCAAGAAAAAGCTTGGAAACTATAACAAATGTGAGTTTTCTAATTTCTTCCTGTTTCAATGGCCCAAAATGATTATTAGTGTTTTGGTTACATGGATGATAGTAGACGGCAATTTGGCTGTCAGAGTTGTTCTGTCGTTTTAGTTGTGTGCTGTAGATCAATTCAAAAATGCCCGATTTTTTGCTCGTTTGCAGACACTGAGCTTAGGTCAGATAAAATAAGAAAATTTTAGTCTTGTCCGTGGATACTTAACAAATCTTATGGTTTCAGAAAGTAGTTCTGTGATGTCTTGTATCGCATACAAAAAATAAACTTCGCTCGTTAAATTTGGAGGGTTCTGTGAGTTTCAGAAAATGGTGAAAATTTGCTTATAAAAATGGCGTCCGAGGGGGTCGAAAAAAGTGATGCTCGTATCTGTAATACAAGAGCAGTGAAGAACCTATGTTTGGTATATTTGTCCATTACTGACCAAACCTATCTATGTTAGTATGAACTTATTCTGTCGACCCCCTTCCGTTGACATTTTTAACATTTTGCCCGGTTTTCTCTGACAACCACTCTTAATCACTGATTTAGACATGCATTTGATCCCCATCGAGTTGTCATAAAGCTTTTTGTTCATGGCAGCTAATTGTTTCTAAATTTTAAGTACCAATCCCCAGCCTACGTCACGGACAAGACTTAACATCTAGCCGGGTTTCTTTCGGCTGCGTACACAGCTCCCAGGGACTAGAGGATTGTGCAATTCTTAGCATTATCTTTATAACTTACGAGACGCAACTGGAACAAGCACTGAAGTGAGCCTAAAGATCCTTTTACATGGTGGTAGGGTGATACCCTGATCTCCCTTCACTTGTTTACTCTTATGTGCCGCCCAGTCTTTTGGAGCCAAACATGTTCTTTTGCCGCTACGCCATCGTATGCCAAAGGCGTCTCGATGTCGTGGACAAATCGACATTTTAATATGATTATCATCGACTTTGAAAATCCCTGAAACAAAATGTATAAAGAAGCTGCAGTGAATTCATGTAGCAATCCTGTAGTAATCGCAAAATGTGTCAGCTGTTAGTATCAAAAGTTAGTAAGTCAAATTCCAGAACTATGTTGCTGCCTTTAAGAGGTCTTTCGAGTTGCGGTGCCACGCATAAACAAATTAATATTAAGAAATAAAATAAAACGAATTCCATATAATAACAAGCAGTAAAAGTGCATCAACTTGGTCAACTCACCGGAAAGGCTTTATTTACTTACAGTGCGAATAAGTTACCTGCTCTTGCGAGAAGAAGATCTGCTTCCGTTTTCGAGGACGAATCAAAGCAGTCATGTTGGTTTAAGTGAGACTTGACGTCTTTTGTGCATTTGTCTATTGCTACACACGTTGCATCTGCAGGATTTGAAGGGCTAGCTCCACAGGGCCCTCCAACAAATGTGGAATATCCACACGATGCCATACGTCAACGAGTGTTGGCTTCAACCCGGAAGCAAGGTGGGTTTGGTACTGGCTCTAAGAACTACTCAACTATCACACGTTTACTTTGAAAAGAGTTTGGAGTTTTTCTTATCTGATTTATCTGAAAGCATTTTCAAAGCCTGGTTTTCATATGTTGGGAAAATCCCAGACGATTGGGGATTTTATTTTTGCCGACCGTCCCAGATATATCAGATAAAGCCTGGTTTTCTGATGTCAGCAAAATCCCAGACGATCAGGCATTTTACTCGTTGCCGACCGTCCAAGATAAATCGGATACTCGCCACAATTGTCTCTGACAGTCTCCCGATGAATTTGGCCGGAAATGGAAAGTGCGCCAAAAATTGAAACTTGCGTCATAGGGGGACTGGAGCCCAGCAGTTTAGGGGATTCATAGAGCGAAATTCATCGCTAACGTCCCCGACGGTACAAATTTTAGTTTTCATTTGTTGGGAATGATTGCCGACCATCGCAGAAATCTGGGACGCATCGGGAAAAGAGAAACACTCCCGATTCTCCAGATTTGTCCCCCTTCATCCCAGACGATTGGGGATATCTTCGATTTGGAGTTTTTATTAGTCGGCAAAATTTGGGACAGTCAGGAAACAGTAAAATCCCCGATTGTCTGGGATTTTCGCGACATATGAGAACCAGGCTTTAGACTTAAAGTAAATATTTCAAGATCAGCAGACGAGATAACCCAAGATAGCAGACATCAACCTTGTTCCCAGGTTCTCTCTCCTACCCTTCGAGCAGACAGCACATGTAGTATCTGGTCCTGGTGCTATATATTTTTTGGGTTTCTCAAGTTTCGCAATCAGTCTGTTTTACTTTTGATCAGCCCCCTGATTTATCATTTTCACTTTGATCATTGTTTAGTTTCAGGGAGGGCTTAGTGCATTGTGCAAGACAAATCTAACTTACTCCACACCCATACAGCTGACATTCCTCTCCCCAGTGCCTACAGATAAAAGTGTGTAACACATTGTCTTTTTGCTTCGGAACAGATGTGAAGAGACCGTGCATTTAGCGGTTTTATTTCCAATACCTCTTCAGTTTTTTGACAGATAAGTAATATATTTAGTCATATATCCTTATGTAAGCTGATGTGGGCTAAATTGTTCTTTCTAAATGAGCAATGGATAGTCAGTATTGAAACGTGTTGATCTGTGCCGTTCACGGCTGTTAATTCATTAAATAGCAAACGGATTTTGACTGTTAACGGGTTTATTTAAGTAAAAAATTGGCGAAACAGATGCAAATAAGTCGAAAATAATAAGTATTGTTCCATTAAAAAGAGATTTGGGGGATTTTGGCCATTCTTTGCCCCAAAGAGCACTTTTGTTGATTTAACACCTTGGAATACCATGACAAAAGTGGCGTGAATTTGACCTCAAGGGCAACTTTCATTTGGCGCTGGAATATTTTCCCTGTTGGATTGCCCAAAAATTGTATTGCATTAATTTGAGGAAGAGACCTTGCTCTTTCTATCTGTAAGAAAGTTATGCCTCAAAGCCGTATACCAAGAAGTGATTTTTGAGTCTGAATTTTATCCATATTTTGTCTGTCAAAAATCAGCAAATTAAGTAAAAAAATTAAAAATCTGAAAAATATCCAGTTTGTTGTCGAAAAGGAAAATTTCACGTTGAAAATATTTAGTTTGCACTTTTACTATTAAGGTTTTCAGAAGCAGAATTTGTTTCTTCTTTAATTTTAAAACGATTTTTAAGTAATGCACTGTCTTTAGCCGGTGAAACCCAACCTGTGAGCCCCCGAACCGACTCGGTCGCCACACGCGTAAAAGAAAAATCTAATCAAACTAAAAGTTATTTTTCTAGAAATGGTTTACCTAGAGCTATATTCTGACAAAGTTTGGGGATTTTCGATTTTTTCATTTTGCACGCCCCCAGGCGATATTTACGGACGGCCGCTCTTAACCACTCGCTCCCAAGGCAGCTCGGCTGTTTTTAGTTCGTAGTACGAGTGGACAGTGGATGCATGCCCATCATTATGGTTCCTGCAATTCCACTTGAACAAATGATCGCCACACACTTTCCCGATCTCGTCAGCTCTTTATATATTTCCTTAACCAAACACGATTTCCCCGTACCACCCTGGCCTGTTATAAAGACATTGTGTCCCTCTCAAACTATATTCAGCACATGGTGCTGGTCCTCAGAAAGTCTATTAAACATCAATAGGGCAAGGTTATAAGTGCAAAGGAAATGACAAAGAGAAGGATTTACAAAACTTATAACGAGCAAAAAGATATAAGTGAATTTTGGCTCTTACCGCGGCATTGGTACAACAGGACCAAATTCAAAGAGAGGTGTCACGATGGTTCACATATTTAACTGATACAAAGTTTAGTTGTATTGACAAGAAATCGGCTTGTTATGGCCGCATTAATCGCTAAATATCATATCGCGCTAGTTCTTTGTTTACTGGTGCATATGCCTTTCACATTCGTCTCAGTTATCGCAATTCATATTTTGTCGGAATATTTTTCCAGCAGGGGAGGGTGGCTTTGAGCAAATGATGTATCGGTCCCCAGAAAGGTCACCCCAGGACTCCTGGGATGGAATTTTTCTGTACAGTGCCCAGGCCTCATTTTCTTGGCTGCGCGTTGACCTGGCCCGGCTGCTTTGGCAGGCATATTCTCGGTCTGTTTAGATTATATCCTTTGAGTTTGTCAAAGTCTGTGTTGCACATGGAACTGGCTAGCTCAGAAAACCACCACAAACCGCATAATATTAATCCAAGGTTTAATAATTATTCGATCTAAAAGAAATACATTTATAATTCGCAATCAG